GCATCCATATCCCCCATGTCCGTGACCAGTATCCTCTTTGCCATGAACCCATTCACATATTCTTGGATGGTTCCAGTCTGCTTCAGCCTACACAACTCATCTCTTAGATGCAAAGTGGCATTCGGAGGAATGTATGTTGCGCGGATCCTCGCCTTCATCATGTCCCAAGTGGCCACCGGTCCTTCCTTGGCCTCTGTCGTTCTCCACCAAGACTTGGCATTATCTGCCAAGTATGGTTTTGCACATGGGACCTTCTCCGAGCTCGGTAATCGCAACGTTCGGAAGTAGTCCTCCATATCGTAAAACCAATCCTCCACCACCTTATAATCATTCACTCCCTTGAAGACCGGTGGGGGCTTTGGTTTGTACTTGGGAACTGCCTAAAGGACTGATTCTACTTCGGTCTGTTTGACCTTGTCTGGTTTTGCCTTAGTCCCCGCCGAAAGGTCCGCACCTTCTGCACTGCCAGCATCCGCAGTCTTTCGCTTTTTCTTCCGCCTCTCGTCACGCTTTAGCTTGCGTACAAGAGTTTCCAACAGGGCATTGGTCTGTGCCAACTGTCCTTCTAGCACATCCAATCAAGCCTTGGATGACCGAACCTCGCCACCGGACTCCTGTTTGGAAGTTTCCTCACTAGAGTCCTCCTCATGCAAGGATTCCTCATCCATAGCCTTTTGTTCAACCGGAGGCTCCAGCTCCGGCGGAGGTTCCGTCTCCGCTTGGGTTCGCTTACGCCCTGCCCTTGCCATCTCCCAGCAATCCGCCTCTATCCTTCGCTAGAACTGAGGAAAAGGCTCTGATACCAAATTGTAAGCCACAAATTTTTCCTTTCCAATTTGCTAGCTTACCTCGTCTATCCGTCCGACACTGCCTTCTGCAAGTTGGCTTTTGCTAAGTTCCCTCGCCAAGGTTCTCGCCTATGGTACCAACTCCTACTTGGTCCTACTTGCTTTCAGCTATTCACTGCACGAGCAACGGAGCATTAGCCATCCATCCACGGATTCCCAATCTCTCCCAATCCCCTTCCCCGAGTTAGACTGGACTTAAGGTTCGGCTACACTCCCCGCAAGCACAAGCAACCAAGCACACCAATCTTCCAGGTTCCTAACATCCCTTGGTACCACAAGATTTGATCATGGGACCCTCTAAATCCCAAGTCTTGAGTGCAACACTTGCTTCGGGACGCCGGGGTGAAACACCGTGGCCTAGCGGCCCGGTATGGGTACCTCTACCCCCCCCCACTTCCATCCCGAAGGAAGGCCCAAGCCCCTAGGAAGGGCGAGGACCAATGAGCCACATGGTATTCAAGTGGGGCACCACTCCATATAAACCGGGAGCACCGCAATTAGTTTCCATTTCGGGAGTGGGAGCTGCTCTTGAGCACTTCCTTGGATGGCCCCTCCAGCACCAACCAAGTCCATACTCACTCCCACCCAAGGCCCCTCGGTCCCAGTCTCAACCTCAAGTCGGTTTGGAAGCCCCACTGGAGAGTCCCTTCAAAACTGATTCTTGGACCTCACTATCCCTACTATACTTTTGGAACCCCTTGTAGCACCCCCCCCCCCCCCCCCCTGCAATATAAAGTGTTGGAGACACCCAAGAAATTGACCTCGAAAAGTCAAAAATAAAAACTTCCAAAGTGCAAAGGTTATATCGATGGAAACTAAAACTACTCAAAAATGAGTAGTGGGATTGAGATAGAAAATGTGTCTTTAATGGGTTTAGTGAGAATTAAACAAATAAAAGGGAGAGAACCACCCTAGGTGGTCAAATGAGTCTTTATATTGGGGACACTATACTCCTTAGAGGATGGACAAAGCATGGTGAGCCTTTAATGTCAAACCATTGACAAATATTGGTTAGGTGCTAAAGATGGAAAGGGTAATACATGTTAGTGTTACTTTATAAAATGGTTTATTATTCGATGAGGACATTGAACTTCGTCTATGGGTAGTGGAGTTGTGAAACACAAATCCCTAAGCCCCAAAGTGGAGCCAAAAGGGTGCCACGTGGTAGTGGCTAAAGTAAAAGCCAATTGAGAGTAACACGTTTGGACTAAAAGCTTTGACTTGAAAAGTCGAGAGCGGGAGTGGAACTCCCAACGGAGGCTCGAGGAACAGGTACGAAACAAGCAATAAGAGAGTGTCTAGAAAAAGAGTCCAAGATAGACCCGAGATGGAATCCAAGGTGGAGTCTAACATGGACCAAGATGGAGTCCAAGATGGAGTCTGAGATGGACCGAGATGGAGTCCGAGATGGAGTCCGAAATGGACCCGAGATGGAGTCCGAGATGGACCCGAGATAGAGTTCGAGATGAACCCGAGATGGAGTCTGAGATGGACCCAAAATGGAGTCCAAGATGGAATCTGAGATAGAGTCCGAGATGGACCCAAGATGGAGTCCAAGACGGACCGAGATGGAACTCGAGAAAGACTTGAGATGGAGTCCGAGATGGAGTCCGAGATGGAATCCGAGATGGAGTCCAAAATGGACTCGAGATGGAGTCCGAGATGGACTGAGATGGAACTCGAGAAGGACCCAATATGGAGTCCGAGATGGAGTTCAAGATGGAGTCCGAGATGAGACCGAGACTGAGATCGAGATCGAGACCAAGATTGTGATTGATCCGAGTTCAAGACCGAGTCCGAGTTCGAATAATACAAGCTATTGGGTGAAAGCCCAAAGCGATCGTCCCCCAGGGGGGGGGGGGGGTTGTGCGGGGGGTTCCAAAAGTATAGTAAGAAGAGTGTGGGTTGGGCCTCAATGGAGCTAGTTTGGCCCAAGAAGACCATACTCAGGTGTTAGGTGATGAGATAACCACTAGGAAATCCAAGATTAGAGTGAATACGGACAAACAAGCGGGGCAGCTTTGTGAAGTGTTCAAGAGCCAACTCTAGTTCCCCTAAGAGATCAAATGGTCAATACTCCCAGTCCAAGTGTGGGTGGCACTACTTACTTGGATACCTAGTGTGGCTCAATAGAACCTCGCTCTAAGTCTATGGCTAGAGCACCCAAAGGCAGAAGGCAGGGAGAGTACCCAGGTGGCTCACATAAGGCCACAGTGTTCCAAAATGTTGCCCCAAAGTCCCACATTAGGGAAAGGAAGAGGAGCAACCCTCTAGTGTAGTGACCAAAGACACAGTCACTTGGTGAAGAAGTCCTAGAGGACAGGGGGACTTAGTGGTCGTCTGGATGGATAGCCCAGTCTTTGAGAGATGGGATGGCAACGTAGGTGGTGTTGGATCACCATGGGATAAAGGTGAATGGGCATAGTTTTAGTGTAATAGGCTGATATGTCGGTGATACCTTTGGGGTGTTAGTCATGAGATTGGACATGTGGAGTGCTTAGACCAAGTGCAACGGTTGAGTGGCATGGATGTCATTCTTAGGGGTAGCAAGCCCCAAGTCTGGAATAGGACTTATGGAGGTTGTGAGTGAGACTCCTCCAAGTGGTTGGAAGTGTGGTTAAGTGACTAAAGTAGAATGGAAAATTTAGTTACTTACACCCCACTTGAGTATTTTATAACTTATTAGTCCTCGCCTTTCATAGGGGTTTGGGCCTTGCCTTTGAGATGGAAGTGGGCGAATAGAGGTATTTATACCAGGTTAATAGGCCATGGTGTTTTCCCCCAATGTCCCAAAGCAAATGTTGCACCTAAGGCTTCAATTTAGAAGGTTTTATGATCAAGTCTTCTTGTACCAAGAAATGTTAGGAACTTGGAGGCTTGGTGTGCTTGGCTGCTTGTGTCTGCGGGGAGTGCAATTGAACCTTTAAGTCCAGTCTAACTCGGGGAGGGGGATTGGGAGAGATTTGGGGAATCCATGGATGGATGGCTAACGCTTTGTTGCTCATGCAGTGAGTAACTGAAACCAAGTAGTAGTTGGTACAATAGGCGGGAACCTTGGTAAAAGAACTTAACTAAGGCCAATACATGGTCAGATAGACAAGGTAAATTGGTAAATTGAAAAAGAAACATTTGTGGCTTATACATTAGTGATTACTATGCTTGATATTCAATATCTATAAAGTATATAGTTAAATTTGACTTCTTTAGATGATATTCAGAAAGTTCAAAAGGTTGAATTGTAAATTTAAAGATTTTAGAATTTCTTATTGATGACTTATTGTTTTGGCATTTATATTTTTAATATCATCTTAAGGATGACCTTCTTTATTTTATGGGGATTTATCTAGATGATCATTTATAGTTTGTGGTGCCATTAATCTTTATACCATACTTCAACTACCAAACTCTCTTATTCTAAGTAGACACATAGAGCATCATTGTATAATTAAAAAGTTATACAAATTTTTTATTGGCCAAAGATGTAATAAAATATCATCCAATATGTATAGTTGTGTTTAGTGCTAAGTTTGTAATACTCCCTTTTGTGTTGTAGTGGAATCAATTGTAATTTCTCATCGATTTGATTTGGTAGTGTTTGATTTCATAGGATATTATTTATTGTCAACTATTAGTAATAAGTACATTATCATTGTTTTTGACTACCTAATTTGTTAGGTAGGAGTTGGTGTTTTTGTTAGTGTGTTTACAATTGCTATAGTCTTCCTTAATTGAATGGAGTTTTAGCATTCTCATCTAAAATAAATTCTCTCAAACAATAGTTCCATATTTATGGTTGAGATATTTTATATTTTAATTTCTCAATTTATGACTATTGCAAGTGTTTATTCTTCACAAATGAATGGTTTAATAGAAAAACTTATTAAAACATTTGAAAGCATGATTGCAAAGTATATAAATTTAATATCTAAATTATGATAATTATTTGTTATTTCTCTAGTATGCATATATCATAAGGGTGTAAAATTCCATAAATTATTACATAGTCATGATGCTATATTGTTAATAGAGTTAAAATTATTAATAAATTTGAATTTATCCATACACTAAATTTGATGATATTTATTTAAGAATATATATGGAGATTTTAACTTTATGCCCTAAAGGTAGGATTTAGGGTTTACATGTGGCTATGGCGGATCAGCTGCCAAGGCGAGAGGCGGTCGTGCTGCGCGGCCACGAAGGTCCGGTTCTGGCAGTACGATTCAACTCCGACGGTAATTATTGCATCAGCTGCGGTCGCGATCGCGTCCTCTGCCTCTGGAATCCACAGAAGGGATTGCGGATCAAGAGCTACAATGCGCACGCCCGGGAGGTTCGCGATGTGGCCGTCGTCGCCGATAATTCCAAGTTCTGCTCTTGCGGCGCCGATCGTCAGCTCTTCTACTGGGATGTTCCCACCGGACGCGTGATTCGTAAATTCCGTGGCCACGACAGTGAGGTACGGGAAAAGAGGAAACTTTTATTTTTTGGTTGATCTAGCTCATGGAACAGTGGTGTAGGTGAATACCGTGAAGTTTAGTGAGAACTCGACGGTGATTGTCTCTGGAGGATATGATCGATCGGTGCGAGCGTTTGATTGTCGATCTCACAGCATAGAACCGATCCAGGTAAATTGTGTTTCTTTTTTTTTCTTCTCTTTTTCTTCGAGAAGGCAACTAAGGTATCACTCTCAGGTGATTGAGGCATTTTCAGACAGTGTGACTTCCCTGTGTATGACAAGGACGGAAATTATCGCTGGAAGTGTGGATGGATCCATTCGAACTTTTGATATCCGTGCTGGAAGGTACTGCTCGTTACCTTGCAAAAAGGATTCTGGCTCACTTTCTTTGGTTTTGTCTTTGTGATCAGAGTGTATAGAGATGATCTTGGTCATCCAATAAATAGCGTCGCCCTCTCGCACGATGGAAAATGCACCTTGGCTGGATGTTTGGATTCAACACTTCGTCTTATTGACAGGTAGCTTACAAACTCCTTTTTTGTTCTAATCTCTCCTTGCTTTTTTCACAGAGAAACTGGTGATTTGCTTCAAGAGTACAAAGGACACATCAACAAGGTAGGCACTACGCAAATCTCTCCTCGCTCTTTAACATTCCAGTTCGTTTCTCTGCGCAGTCCTACAAAACTGATAGTTGCTTGACAAACACCGACGCTCATGTTGTTGGTAGCTCCGAGGACGGTCGCATTTACTACTGGGATCTCGTGGATTCATCCGTAGTGTCGAGTTTCAAAGCGCACGCTTCAGCAGTAAGCAAAACTGGAAATTCTATCCTTTTTTTCTCGTGTTCTTGACACACAGTCTTTCGCCTTCCAGGTAACGAGCATTGCTTATCACAAAACCGAGCCAATGCTCGTCACGTCCTCCATCGATGGGACTGTTCGTGTGTGGACGCCATAGCGAGCGCTCCAGTCGTGAAAAACTGGATTTTTACAGGACATTTTTTGTCAAATGTAAGCTTTTTGTTTTACTACACGTCCCTTGTTCGAATCCTGGGGTTTCTGGCATGGGGTTTAGGGTTTAGGGCTTTAGATGTTGAGGCGCGCATTGTGGAACGCCTGGCGATGGCGCTCCGGCCGGCCGGCGTTTCCTTGCGATGCGGCAACGCGATCGATCGATTCACATCGGAATCCGCTCACGGGGTAATGGCTGAGCTCCTGCATTGTTCTTGGATCGAGTTTCACCCGGATTTTCTCGCAGGAGCTTCGAAATATTTCAAGTCCGGGGCTTCGGCGTCGCCAATGTGTGGATCGATCGGGAGACGGCCGCTGCTCGAGCTGCGCAGCGGACGCTACGGCCGAGAAGGCACAAGGTCAAGCCTGCCGAGGGCGAGGAGAAGCCAGCAGCACGACCGGCGCCACGGAAGAGCATCGGGCTTTCGAGGGAGTCTCGGCGATTGTTAAGGAAAGGTGAGCGCATGAGAACTTGGAAGGATGGAACTCCTCGACCGCCTGGGCCGGAGGGATCGCTGCGAATGCTGGATTCTGGCAAGCTTCTCGGGAGAGACAGGAAAACCATGGTACAAAAGTATGGCACGCCCAAGAGGATTCCACGAAAGATCAGGCTGGAAAAGCTCGAGGAACGTCGTCAAAGGAAGGAGTTGAAGATGAAGCTAGCTCTAAATCCCGAGCTCAAGGAAGAGCTGCTAAAGAAGAGTCTTCCGACCGACTCGGGTGCTGTCCGAAGGCTTCGTGAAAAGTCAGAGAGTTTCTCAAGGATGAACAAGATGGAGAAGAGAAGGGACGTCGAGGAGAAAGAGGCCGCCGTGTACTTCTCTCAGCCTTTAAAGTGCGATCGAAAGAAGGTGGCGACGGTTTATGGGGATATAGACGTTACTGCTGCAGCGAAGTATAAGGAGTGGAAGGCTCAGAAGAAGGAACAAATTGTTTCGAAAACTTTGCAAATCGAAGCTGGCGATGGCTCTAGACCGGCTGGTGGTGATGGTGCTCTTGCGAGGTTGCGTAAGAAGGCTCTTAAAGTTAAACGCGAGGCAGAGAACCAAAAACTTTTGGCCGCCAGAAACAAGGAAGACCTTGTGGAAGATGATGGCAATGCCCAGGAAATTAGAGAGAAGGCCAAGAAGATGATCGAGGAAGGAAAGGAGCTGTTGAAGCTAGTGGATGAAGAGTACCACGAGTCGAGCATCGTGTTGGAGGAGGAAGAGGTTGAAGGAGCAAAGAGAAAATTGACTCGCGGGCTTATTTTGGAGAACGAGGCGAATAGAAAAAGAAGTGATCGACATACAGCGACAGCCGGCACAAGCGGAAGTAAATCAGAGTCGTCCGAGAACCCAAAGGCCGAGACCGAAACCGAGAAATACTTGCGCAAGAGCAGCCAAATAAGTGACGAAAGCAAGGCCAATATTTTGGACATTGGCAAGCCTGCAGCTTCCGCAGAGATCAAAGGTAGAAAGGCTCTCACTTCGTTCACATTTTACTTCTGAGTAATGTTTTGCAGTCGATCTGATGAGCGACGAGGAAACTTTCAGTGATGAAGAGAAGAAGGAAAAGCTGACGTGGGGCTTGGATTCGACCAGGCCAATGGATGACACCGACGAAGGTATGTTATAAATATTTTATTGTCGAGGTCTTCTTACAAGTTGTTACCAGGTCGTAAACTGTCGAGAGTTTTGGGTACCAACATGTTGCTAGGCTTTCCGAGACTTACGAAGGCAAAGAAAACTCGGCCAGCACGTACTACAACTCGTCCAGACGAGGAAGATATAGTCCTAAGTCCACAGGTGGATGAAACTCATAGTAATATTATCACTCCAACGCTTTATCAACCCGAAGAAAGGGGCCTGTCCCTGGAAAGGCAAATCATAGGTCTGGACGTTTGTCTACATTATCATTCTTTTTTCACGTCTTGTCGTTGCAGAGAAAACTCTGGAGGAGTACCACATGATACTTCAGTCTGAGCGGGCTACTCCCCGGAAAAAGCCATGGATCAGGAGAGTACTGAAGATCGACAAGGACGACATTACTGCTAAACGTTACGAAACCCCTGAGGAAAGGAAGGCGTCAGGTAGCCTCTCTAGTCTTCTCTCTGATTACTTATAAGACGCTGCGTTTCAGGTAAAGTAGAACCGAAAGAGCTCGGTACCAATGCAAGATTTCGAATGATACAACCGTCTCGGGAGCTCATGCGCTACATAGATTCACAAGTATGATCCTGTCTTTTATAATGTGAAACTGACACTTGGAATAGCTGCTGGGCAAGAGGAGACTCGACGAATGGCGGAAAGCTGGCTACAATGTTAAACTTTATTCTCCACTCGACAATGTGCCATTCTACAAAGGCGAAAAGAAATACAGAATCCATCAGAGTGTAGGTTCGTTTAACTCTAGACCTTAAGTTTCTTGTGAAAAGCATGTTGGTCTGACGGATGCGGTGCAGATTTTTAGAAACAAGCAAGTATTCGTGGCTGGAGCTAAAGTTTTATCGTCAATACCACCAGCCGAGCTGCCAGAAATCGCATTTGCAGGTTATCTCTGTCTGCTGCTTTACAGCTCACAGCTTTTTCTTTTCTTCTTTTTTATTCCAGGCAGAACAAATTCTGGGAAATCCAAGTTAATAAATGCATTGACTAGACAATATGGAAGAGCTCGAACTTCGCCAAAGCCTGGGAAAACGGATGTAAGTGTCCATCGCTTTCCTGTTCGATCCTCAAAACTTTGGTCCTTTTCGTTTGTAGTCCATCAATTTTTACGTTCTTGGTGAGAAGTTATGTCTGGTCGACATGCCTGGCTACAGCTTCATGTATGGCAAACAGGACCAAATCCAAGATCTTCGTCAACTGGTAAGCCCTTGGCTTAAGTTGATACGCTCGTGACAGATATTCTTCGTTTCCAGAATATGGATTACATTACTGTTAGGGATCACCTGAAGAGAGTCTGCCTTCTGATAGATGCGGAATGGGGGATAAGACAGAAGGACCAAGAGTTTATTGATTTTCTTGAATCGTAAGAACTTCACATCAGCTTCTTCAGCTTGTGCCTGACCAACTTCTTTCCAGGGTCAATCGGAAATACCAAATAGTACTGACTAAAACTGACAAAGTTTTGCCTCTGGATCTCGGCCGAAGAGTCACACAGATTGAGGAGGCACGCATTTTTTCTTTTCTCTCGGTAATGGCAATGGACTGATGCTTGTTTTCCGGTTATCAAGGACTGCAAGTACCACGTTTCACCAGTGGTACGTATCCATCTTAACGGGGTTTGGATCACTGACTTACTCGCATTGCAGATGATGGTGAGCGCCAAGTCTGGAGCTGGAATAGGAAAATTCCGCATGGCTCTCGCCAGTCTACTCTAGGAGGTTAGCTAAGAACTTATCTCGTTTTGCCACTTCAAACAACACGAATCTTTACATCACTCACTCAGTCCTCGTCTCGCTTATCAGTCTTGAGCTGCGCCGGCCTCCGTGGCCTCTTGAAGTTGAGCAATCTCTTCTTCTGGTCCTTGATGCTCTTGATCTTCCCAGCACCCCTGGTACGTTCCTCAAACGTGACAGCGCTAATCGTCACAGCTCCCTTACGCTTCTTCATTGCTATAGGCGGAGGCCCACAGTCGCTCTTCTTCCGGAAAGTCGGGATGCACTCGAAGGGATTGACGTTGTCGGCGGCCTTGCGGAGCTCCATTCGCTCCCTGGATTTGCCGCTCTCGTCGCCGCTCTTCCACGCAAACTGCTTGATGTCGAGGCGGCTGAGCACCTGCTTAAACTCCTCGTGCTTGCGCTCGTGGACGGTAAGCCGGCCCTCTCGCCTCACAAAGCTTGCGGGCTTTGTGTGGAGGCTGGGCGCTGGAACCAGCCTTCGCGGGCCAGCGGGCTTGGCCTTCTTCTTGCTTCTCTGGGTCCGGTAGCGCTTGGTGGTTCTCACCGCGGCAAAGAAGCGCTGCTGGGAGTAACTCCAGCTCCACGGCGTGGGCGGGGACGAGGGCGATCGTTGCGCAGCCGGTGTCACGTACCTCGGGGAATGTGAAGAGTGGGCGAGAGCTTTGGCGGTGGAGATTGAGCTTGCGAGGCGCCTCAGCGTGCTGCTGCTCCACATTGTTGTGTGGTTAGGGTTTACGGCCTAGCTTGAAGATCTATTCGAATATTCGTAGAATAAATCTTAACATGTTTTGTTTTGCTTAAGCAAACTTACCAAAAACTATGGTTTTATAAACATGTTTAAATTTAAAACTTCCATTATTGGCAAAAATTTATTACTCTAATCTTTGTTAAGTCATAATTAAGAAAACTAAAAAAATATCGTAATTAAAATGAAAATTTAAATTCATGGTCTTAAGATGATTTGTAAAATTGACTCAAATTATATTTAACCAAACACAACTTTCAACGGTCAACACCACTAATCTAGAATTTAACCGTTAAACCAGCACCGACGTATTGTCCTCTTGCTTTGAGAAAATGTTTTGTTCGATTTTCATGTACAATGCTGATTGGATTATGATTCGCCACAGGACAACCTGTTGTTACGCACTTCTGACACAAGCATGGCTATGGTGAAAATTTGACAAAGATTGAATAAATGAAATTAAAAAGCGGCATCGCTTTGGAAGGAAGCAACAGCAGTTATCGGATCATCAAAGGGTTGGATCCATTCGAGGCCCCTCTCCACAGGTAAATTAGCAAAGAATTCATCCTTTTTTCCTTTTTGGTCGCATTCGTTGTTGGTAGGCAAGTGATGAGTGTGCTCATTTGCTAGATTTCCTTTGACGCTCTGGTAGGTCATTGTCTTTGCGATCGCTTCCATTGCGCATTGCCCACCGGTTCTCTTGGGGGCAGGGGTCTGGTGGGTTCTTGCCACTCGCAAAATCGACGAAATCGGGCAATGTGGGCTCCTAGATTCTGGCATTGGGTTCCTGGAACTGGTTCCAGACTCCAAAACACAGATTTGAGCTGCCCGGATCTGTGAATGACTGTCGAGTTTCGAGAGAGATGACCGTACAGAGGCTGGATCCCGGCTCGCCCGATTCGAGTGGATATGGCCACGATGGGATCTCTGCGCAAGTAAGCAATGCCAAGCTCCTCCATCACAAGAGGCTGGTTTTAGTCTGGGCTTTGATGGTTCTTCTTCCTCTGGCGCTCGTGAGGCTGTCACTCTTCCATGTCTACCCGGAGCGCATGGGAGGGGATCGAAATCTCTCGGCGGAGCTCCAGCAAATGATCCAGTCCGTGAATCTCAGCGCGCTTCCTTCGCATCGATCAGGTAACTCGACTATACTTTACTTCTAAGTTAGAGCGTTTTTCCATCTTTTCTAGCGTGGTATCTAAGTTCTTTGATTTTAGGAGGCTGTGATCTCCTCCAGGGCGAATGGATCCCTGACGAGGTCGGGCCAACGTACTCGAACGAGACATGTAATCACATCCAAGGACACCAGAATTGTTTGAAGAATGGTCGGCCAGACAATGGGTATATGTTTTGGAGATGGAAGCCAGACGACTGTGAGTTGCCTCGATTCAACACTACGCTCTTCATCGAGCTCATGAGAGGGAAGCTCATGGCATTTGTCGGTGATTCCATCGCTCGAAACCATATGCAAGCACTGCTTTGCACGCTCTCTCAGGCAAGTCTTCCAAGCTAGTTCTTGTCCTAGAAGGCTCCATTCGTTGGTTATTGTAGCTTTAGTTTTCAGCATGTCCTGTGAAGTTGTTCTTGGTTCTTTCGGTTATTTCCTCTTTCATGATTTAAAGTGATCCAAAAACTTAGCCATTTTCGTTGTTTGGCATAAGTCCTCATTGTGTGTTCCTTTGTTGTTGAGTACTATGCTTCTTGGTTTGATGGAGAACTTGGGCATCTTCATCCCCAGTTTGCCTAGTCCCGTTTTCACTATATCATCTTTTCTTTGTATTGGAGTGGTCTACAAACTACCTGGACATGGTTTATATTTTCTTCGTTAGCATTCTTTATGTTTTTATCTTTGTTTGCAACTTGTTCATGTTTTCCTGGAAACGCCAAGTTTTCATCTTAAGTTTCATGCCGGATCGAAGTTTGCTAACTTTCCTTTTCCACCTCTCAGATCGAGAAGCCGATCAAGACATACACCGACGAGGGAGACAGGCACGTAAGATGGTGGTTCCCATCAAACAATTTCACCGTGTCCACATTCTGGTCGCCATACCTCGCCTTCCAGACCGACGACGAATCCCACGGCATCGAAAAGGGCCACAGCAAGCTCTTCCTGGACAAGCTCGATCCCGTCTGGCTCGCAAACATCACCCAATTCGACGTCCTCATCCTCTCCTCGGGGCAGTGGTTCTTCAAGAACAACCTCTTCTTCCAAAACAACACGCTCATCGGCTGCCACCACTGCCCCGGATTCAACATCACAAATCTGGGCTTCTACTTCGCGTATCGCGAGATCCTCAAACACGTCCTGGTCGAGCTCCCAAAACTCCAGGGATTCAAAGGCCTGGCCATCCTCCGGAGCTTCTCCCCGGACCACTTCGAGGATGGACGGTGGGATAACGGCGGGAGCTGCAAGAGGACTGTGCCGTTCCATCCCAACCGCACGATCCCAACGGACAGTTTGACGTTCGAGATGCACAGGATCCAACGGGAGGTGTTTGACGGTCTGGAGCGGGCCGACCGGGTGGCCATGGTGGACGTGACACAGATATCGTACCTTCGACCGGATGGCCACCCCGGGCCGTACAGGAACTTCCAGCCTTTCTCCAAGGAGTTTGTGGGCCACGTCCAGAACGACTGCCTGCATTGGTGTATCCCTGGGCCGGTGGATACTTGGAACGATATGGTGCTAGAAACCATGCGACAACAGTTAATTTGAAGTGAGGAAAAAGAAAGACCTGTGTTGTTGAGATGGTAGTAGCGAATATGCCTAGAATATTTAAGAATTTTAAGTATATTCAAATTTTTCTCTAATTCAAGAATCTTGTTTGTTGCTAATACAAACTAAAGTTAAATCTCTAGTGTGCAAATTGGATAAGGATATGTTGGTAGAGATCAAACATCCTTTCTCAATGCAATTGCATTTTAAATGCCTCTACAACCCATTTAAAGTATTTGTTCATTTGAGGAACTTCATGTTGTCCAAGGTGTTCTTTCACATCTTTTGATACAACTTCCTATTCTTGCTTTGCTCACTCAAAAGCTCATAAATTCATGATTGGCTGTGGAGAGTCTCTCCTTACCTTGAACTTTATCCTCTAAATTTTTCAACATACATGATAACAAGGAAGTAGTGGCAGCAAACTAGGTGGTAAGAAAACCTTGAGTAGTTGATTGTGCTATTCCATACAAGCTCTAATAATATAATAAATTCCACTATTAGGAAGTAGAGGAAAGTCATTCACAAGCCCCTTGATGAAGAAAAGCTGGCTAGAAGCTATGAAAGTGAAGATCATGTCAGCCTCTCCAACACCAGCTCAAAGTGTTAAACATTAGCTTTGACCACGTAGTCAACATGGGTCCAAGGTCAAAGTAAGGTATGGTGGAGAGGAGAGCCTCTTTCAAACATTAAAGGGTCACACAAAAAAAGTATTTAAACTCTTAAGTTTAGAAGTTATATAACTCAATATTACTTAAACCCAAAGATAT